GTTAAACAAGACGAAATAAACAAGACACACACATTAAACAGCCTATACTATTATTTTATTAGAGACAAATATTATAATGTTATAATAATTAAGTAAAATTGTAGACGACAAAGTCTCAAAATTGTTAAAGAGTCTCATCTTCATCTTCTTGGGGGTAATCGTTTGTGGCTACATCGCAATGTGTTAAATTTTGATAAAACGCATGACAAACCGACGGAACAAAAGGTGTAATTCAGTCATTATACTTTTGTTTTGTGATTGGTAATGGGATAACTTGGACTTGATTTAATTGGGCTGGAAACGTTACTTGCGATACCTCATGAATTCCATCTCATACATATTTTCATTATTGAAATCGGTCTAATAAAAGAGCTTTCCGATGTGTTCTTGTTGGACTTGTATGAAAACACATGTTGACAGTACTCTTTGTTAACATTCTTTTTTCTACTTACAAAAGGAGGATTAGGTGACAGTTTCTTATCGAACAGCGTTTTATAGTTTTTGAAATCTGCAAGTTCAATATTGTGCACTGTGTATTTACCTGATGTTTGCCTAACTAACTGTTGCCAGTCCCATGGTATTAAAATGACCACATTGGAGAGATTCTTTCTTTTTTCTCGATCAAAGCATGAACACTGTCTGATTCTTTTTTCCCCTTTCAGTAAAAACTTTTGAGTGATCGTCTTTATTTAAGGGTACGTATGCAGTATCAAAAAATAGCACATTATAATACTTATAATTTTTATTTGTCCATAGCAGTTATCGGTCCAAAGAGTGATGTCCTCTACTTGACTACCTGGAATTGTATTGTCAGCCCATTTCCAAATTGACTATTTGAACGGCCCCCTTTCGATTCGTCCCATATCATACATTATACAGAAAAATCACTGGCATCATATAATGTAAAATTTAATGTCCAAAGCTTCCTTTTGTACAAACTAATACAAGTGTTTGTTAGTGGTGAAGGCAAACATGCAAATCACCAGCTAGTACTTTGTGTTTTGGTGACTCTTTAACTATGATAAAGTCCAATTGTTTTAAGTTATACCGAGATTTAGATCAGTCTATACACTGGTTAGTTCATTTGCAGTAAGATATTTTTTCAATTTAATGCGTGAATGTACTGCATGTATCGCAATTGTCTATTTTGGGTGGTTTAAATTACAACTTGAAGTTTTTATTAAAAATTTTTGCGTATAACCACTTTTTTGCTCTTAGCTTTGGATCCATCTTTTAGTTGATACATCTTTTCTATTGTAAGTTCTGTGCCCAGATAATTTCTTAATGTATTCACTACTACAAAATTATATATACTATGTGTATTTAAAAATATAACCTTGCACACCTTCAATCGCTGATTTTTCACATGTAAAATGGTAGTGTATTTTATTATTTTTGGATTTGGTAGTGTTTGGGTTTTTTTTCTGGATCGAAGAGTAGGTTGGATGTTGACACACGAGAAGATACATTGCTTTTTACCTATTGCGAATATATTTCGAACTAAATAAAATTTTACAGTTATTTTGTTGTTACAATTTTATAGACTTATGTATCAACATCAAGTCCACATGATGGTTGTTTACCACTGACTGGAAGTGAACTTTGGTGTTTGTTAAAAACTCGGTAACTAATACCGTAAAAGTGTCTCTAGACATAGTATGGTTTACCTCTATGTAGAGCCAGAAAAGATATTCAAAAATGCAATAACTCCAATTTTAGCAAAAATGGACATAGTGTCCTTTACCTTCGGGGTACAGATATTATAACAAGTCCAAAACTATATTTTTCAGGAGAAAGAAAACAAAATTTGAAATGATAAAAATCCTATGCTTTTTTACATTTTTAGCTAAATATTTTTATACATTTAGTTCAATATGTACATTTTCTAATAGCTAAAACAATGTTTGAATGATTGAATTTTTATTTCGCATGTTAGATATTTTCTATTTAAACAAAATGTGGACTAAGTTGGTTCTTTCACTGAACAGATCATTTTGCTACATGGGGGAATGTTTTCGGACTAACCAGTCCATCATGAGAGCAGTTATCAGGTAAACATGAGCGAAGCCACGAAATTAGCGGTAAAATATAGTGAATTTGCAGACAATTTGTAAATTTTCGTCACACAATATGAAAAGTAGTTTTTGCTGATTTTAATGAAAGTATCTTGAACAAATATCTTGAACAATTAGAATTTCGTCGACAGTCGTTATTCCGAAATGTCGAGACGTCAGACGCGTTGAACGACCTATATTCAAATTTTCGCATTTTTTTTATAATTTTAATTAAGTAAGCTACTTAAATAAAAAGGATAGCAGTATCTATAAATTTTCGATTTGTCGTAAAAATAGACATGTTTCGAGAAAATTAAAGGAAAAAAACGTCCAGAACCAAAAAAAGTCCCATAGAGAAACGATGCTTGAGGAAATGAAGCGATTCTTAAAGTTTGGAGAGAGTACTATCATAAACTTTTTTGCCGACGGCACATTTTGCAACTTGAGACGTCAACTATTACCATTTGAAAGTATATTCAGTATTTTTTCCTATCCCATATATTATATATATATATATATAGTATATATATATATATAATATATCTATAAATTGTTATGATGTTTTGTTGTATCAATGAGTGTTTTTTAATAACATATATAAGTATAGGGTTTTTATCGCGGTTCTCAAAGAATTAGTTTGTAAGTACTTTTTTAAATTATCTTTATTATAATTGTTATGAAACACACGTAATGCCTAAATGAAACTGTTTTCCAAAATAAAAGGTTTATTCACCACTCAATATCTTCGTTATCAGCCTCGGTTATCCTTCTTTTTGTGAAATTGCTTCTCCAAATACACCACAATGTTGTAATTATCAGCTTCCACCATTTTAAAATATTTTTCTTTTCAATAGCATTTATAAATCGGCAAAATATTCTTCTTAATTTATTACTTTCTTGTTTATTCTTCTTTCTAATAATCTTATTTTTTCTTCTTCCAATCTCCAATCATCATATAAATATTATAATTTTAATTTCTTCTAATCTCCATATACATAATATAATTTTTAATCTTCAACTAATACTCCCTTAATACTATTTTTTTAATCTCCATGTAATATACTTTCCAAAATATTATAAAACTTTCATACTAAATCACTGTCTTCTGTATGCTGACTTGACCAACAAATACTACTCATTGAGTAGTCTACGAATACTGTCTAATAATGAACTGTTTTTAATATTAATACACTAATACTGACTATACTGACTAATCTAACTAACTAACTAATAATGAAACTCCCTCTTTCCTCAAATCACCGAGTATTTATATCATTTCAATGTTCAAGAATATTCTTGAAAGCAAATATATTCGAATTGTTCTATTTCTTAGATATTTGAATGTTCTAGAAAAATTCTTTACCCTTCTATCGAGAATTTTATGGAAATTTAGGCTTTTTTAGATCATACAAACTTATATGTAAATTAAACACTTAAATTAATAAATAACACTATTTTAAATCCATATTTAATTACAAAAATTTCCACAACAAATTTTCTTCAGTGTATATTTGGTTGCCTATAAAGATGGCGCACTCAAATATATTCATAATATTATAATTATTAAAATAACCAAATACATTGCAAAATAAAAACTATTAGAACTTCATTATTATGCTAATTTCTTAAGAATACCTCATATAAATACTTTTTATAATATTCTCTAGTATATAGCTTATAAATTATTTCTTTAATCACTATTTAAGTTCAATTTAGATTACTCTTTTCTCTTTACTGGGGCAAATACATATTTATATTTGTAGTTGATAATTTTGTTATATTTAATATTTTACCAAAATCCAGTGTCTTTTTTTGAGAATTTTTTATATTCTTTTTTTGACATAACCTAATTTACAAACCATATTTATTTTATTTAGGATCTTTATTTATAATACAACGTATGCTGTACCAATTTAATATAACCGCCAGAAAATTTAACATGTTAATTTCCCCAAAACGGCAAAATACATAGTTATAACAGTAAATTTACTAAGATGTAAATTGAAACTGGAAGGTCAGATAAAAGAACACGTGATGGAGTTTAAATATTTAGGCATCACACTAGTTAGCTACGGAAAACTCCAAACAGAGCCGCAGGTTTTCTGAATGAATCTATATTGAGAAATAAAAATATCGGGAGAGAAATCAAAGGCAGAATTTACAAAACAGTTATCAGACCAATAATGGACATGACAAAAAACAATATGGGACAGAGCTAGAAGTACATATATGACGTAGATGCAAGGTGGAGAACATCAAGGACTGGGTAAGAAATAGAATAGTAAAATGGAACGATAATATATGCCGAATGACAACAAATTGAGTCGTAAAGACGGCAAGAGACGGATTTTCCAATAGGAAGATGATCAGTAGGTAGACCACGTAAGCTATTGAACGACAACTTCCTGGAAGCACATTAAAAACAGACAGATTTTGTCCTGTTTTTGAGTAAAGACTGCCTGAACAATATGGTATCACATATGGAGTAAACTGAAATAGCACGAGCGCTGTCGTGAAAAACTCAACATCTGCTTCTCTATGAAGTATATCATTCAGTTAACTGCCATGAAGCCAACAATATATGCAACAACAATGCCACAAGTATCATTTTCAAACTGTACGCTTTAGGCAGAATTTGCTTTGTTTTTAATTAACATTAAATTTAATTTGATTCTTGATGTACAATACATATGATTAGTTATTGTCCTCTTTTGTTTGTCCCAGCCAAACTCATTTTTCAGATTTGCATTTAAGATAATCCTACATCTGGGCTACATGAAGCCTTAAACCTTTTTATTCCAATGTTAGTTGGAGTTTTATTGTTACACATTCGCTACCAATTGAATCCAAAAGGATACTTATATCTTATATTGTTGCAATATAAAATCTATTTTTCTTGTTGTCAAAAATAATTTACTATCATATTAATAATATAACGAAACAAACCTTTGTTTTTGAACCACCAATAGAACCTGGTCGAATAGATCCCGTTTCGTAAAACCTGGTTAAAATTTTAGACACGCATCCGTGCGATACTAAAAGTTGTCTTGATATATCACAAGGTCGAACTCCAAGAAGGGCCAGTTCGACTATTCTTCTTCTTACGCAATCTGGCAAAGGACGACCGTTCACGAAAACACCTCCGAGTTGATTTACGCCCGCCTGGCCTACAAAGAAAAACATTACATTAAAAAAATTGTAAGTACCAGAGAAAAATAAATAAATATAATTACTAAACAAACTAGACAACACTTTTTTTATTTTCAAGTGATATATTGTTAAAATTACAAGTTTAATCTTCAAAGATCAGTTAATAAGAATAGTGACATAAACTAATCGAATCCCAGTTGTAGACGAAATGACCACAAATTCCTCCAAAATCTATGGAAGTCTGTTTGAAGTTTCAATTAGACATTATGAGGCCCTATCTCTACTCGACTGGGAATTTGTTTCGGATATTTCTTAAGGACTGTTTTAGACTAAACTTGTCATGATACATATGATGTCATAGAAGAAAAAGTTCTTGTGCCAACATTTCATAAATGCCAGTCCGTTAAATTACGGGCTTGCCGGATATACAACAAATAATAAACTTTCTGGTTCTATAAATCGCATATATTTAGCTTTAAGAACAATTAATATAAACAGTTGTGCGTTTTAAGAACATCTTATATGAACATTTATGTTTTATTATTATAAAAGTGTGATTTGTTGGCGATTCCGCTACTTCTATTTATTTCTGTAAATAATATAATAAAAATATTTCTAGTTTAGTTCTTATTTTAATTATTCTATTTTAAATTTTAATATCTACTACATTATTACTAATCCGCAATTTTGCGACCCATTGGTGGCTGTTCCTTCGAGGTTTTTATTTATTTTTTATCTACCAAACGTAGGAAGGTGAGACTATAATTTTTCAAATATTTACTTTGAAATCATCGAACCAGCTACCTCATCCTTCCACTACAATTGGCTTGGGCATCTTTTGGTAAAAATCCTGTAATATTTAAATCCAGAATGCCACTCCACCTGAAGAAAAGTACATCATTGTATACTACCAATCATGACATACGGCTGCGAAACTTGGACACCAACGAAAGAGCTAAAAGCGAAGCTCAAAGTCACTCAAAGGTCAAAGGAGAGATGCATGCTAGGCATAACACAGAGATATCGCAAAGAATGGATCAGATAGAAAACTCAGGTCAATGATGTAATCCACAGAATCAAATCTTAAAAATGGCAGTGGGCGGGACATTTAGCCAGAAGAATTGATAATACATGGTTCACTAGAATAATTACACTATAGTATCCAAGAGGCGTCAAGAGACCAAGACGACGTGCAAACTTAAGATGGGACTGACATAAAAAACATGCAGTTACAACATGACACAGACATGCAAATATAAGACAATCGTGGGTAGAAATGAATAACAACTATGTAAGGGAGGTTTCATTATAATCGGTAGAATACGCTGAGAATGATGATGATGACGATGATGCGCTTTATCATGATATTCGAAATATTTGTTTTCTGCATTTTTTTCGTTATATTGAGAACTTCAAATATGTCAGTTCTTTTATGGATTATAATTTTTATCCATTTCTATCATTTATCGATAATAACATTGCATTTATTGTAGCTTTTTGAACCCATAATAATTGTATTTTATTGATTTAAAGTATATTTAAGATATTTTTTATATAGTTTACTGTTGTCACTTTTAATTACCTGTTATAATTCGTTACTCATTGGATTTCAGTTAAGCTAACCAAATCTTTCAGATATACCATTTTTAAATAAAAACACGTTACAGACAAATGTAAATCTCCGTAACATCCGCTGTTTATATTACTATATTTAAAAAAAAATCTTTCGCGTGACATACAGAAAACACCTGCTTGCGACTACAAGCGCCTAACATCGATTTTTTTCGACTGTAAAAATTAGCCCAAAATTGGGAACCGCAGTTGCTACTATAATTACTAAATTGTAGGACCTATCACATACGAAGACATATCAGTGTATGCAAGTCAGGTACCAATTCCTATGTTAGCACAGTGAAATGAACCGGTAATCGAAATGTAGAGATGAGAAGCTTCTGAACGAATCCGTTTCTGTTGTATCATATTTACATTCACAAATAGCTGTTCAATTGCTTGAATGGAAGTGTGATACCAATCAACGGACGAACAACATTATGTCGATACGGGAATTAAAAAATATTTTGGCGGTGTAAATCTGGTGAAAACAAACTGTAATATTATGTTATCAGTAAAAATATAATAAGGTGCTGAAACTGTTTTTATATGGGATTAAGCCACAATTGATTGTAATGAAAATTTCATTTTAACTAATTAATGTAGACACGTCGTTTCGTTCGAAACATAAAATTATTAAAAAAATTTTTGGAAAATAAATAACCAACAAGTTGTTGTTAGTAGGTTATATTTTTCAAAATTGATGGTTGATTTTGTCTGGTCTCGATCTTGTAGGCAATATCATAATTATGGTTGAAAAAATCTAATGGTGATGTTTTTACCATCGGAATATAAAATTCTGACTACTTTATTTGTTTTTTTTTTTATTTTATGTTTGCGTAATTTGTGTTTATGTAGATTATACGCTTGTATTTTGTGTGTTGCATATGTATTGTGTGTACATGGACCCTGTCTCAGACTTCCTCTTAATCTGCTATTGCTGGTAAATTCTTATTATTGACTTCTTCTTTTATATAACTATGAGCATATAACTATGAGCAAACACATGACTCCATTTTTCTTATAAAAATCAATGTGAACACGTGAGAATACATTTTCAGTTTTATGCTGCGATATTAAATGTTTTTCATGTTGTTTTCTATTTATCAGGCAAACATGTCATGAATTCAGCAAAACCTCAATTTCTTGTTGTAAGTTTTGGCCAACAAATAATAGATCTAGTAAGCATTTTTGTATATACTTCATCTATACATTACATTTGTATGTATCTTCATGAAGAAGCTCCAAAATACCTTTGCGTAAAGCCTCTGGGACAACAACTTTTAAGCCTTTCATTAGACAGATTTTTTCAATGGAAAGTTAATTATGCTTACTATAATATGCTTTAAATATACTGTGAACTTAATTTGTCCAACATGTTTTAACATAATCTATTACTTTCCTCAGTACTGGATCTTGACTGGACACCTTGATAATGTCCTTATAATTTATTAATAACTCATCTGTTAAATTAAAGGAAATAATTCCACTTTCAACTTAAGTAGAATTATTTAAGAGTAATCAAGATAACCTATCTGCTTCAAAAAGTTGAGAGCATTTTTCATATTCTATCTCATAATCATAAGCTGATAGTATAATATTCCAAATAATAAGAAGATGATATAACTGAAATATTTTTATTTGAGTTAAAAATATTTTTTAATGGTTGGTGATCAGATACAAGAGTCACCGATCTACCATAGAATATATAAGTTCCAATTGTGAATAATTTCAGTTTTTGATAACGAACTGATAACGAACCCGGTAAGTTTCAAAATTACCATTCGTGAAATGAAAAGACTTGGAGTGGACATACTAGTATATAAGTGAGATGAGATGGTTTGGTTTCTGGAAATGTATCCATCGATGACTACACAATATACTACTCGGGGAACGAAAACAGCAGAGACACTGGAATGGTGTAGGCCTTATAGTAACAGAGCAGACAAAAAAAAGCAGTAATTGATTTCATACCCTATTCTGATCGAATGCTTCTTTTGAAATTACAGAGTAAGCCCGTAAACATAAACATACTCCAAGTTTATAGCACCAACTGCTGACAGGTCGGATGATGAAATAGAGCAGTTCTATTGAGAATCTCCAAGAATTACTTAAAATGACAAAGAGTTATGAAACAACATTAATTGTAGGAGATTTTAATGCCAAAGTGGGTTGTGGAAAAGTGGAACATATTTGTGGAAATTACGGACTGGCAGTCGCAATGATAGAGGTGACAGACTACTACAATTTTGCCGAGAGAAACAACTAACAATCATGAACACCTGGTTCGCGCTACCACTACGGAGGCTATATGCGTGGAAATCACCCGCAGATAATAAAAACAATTGTGTCCGAAATCAAATCGATTACATTGTTATAAACCAGCGATATAAAATACAGTAACGGATACAAGAACATACCCAGGCGCAGATGTTCCTTCGGATCACAACCTACTAGTGGCTAAATTAAAAATAAAGTTCAAAATGCTAAAAAAGACTGTCAAAGGAAAAACCGACATCAATTTACTTAAACAATAAAAATATACAAAGTTATGGTAAAGACTAAACTCAACGAGGAATGTGAAAGACTCAAAAGAGAGTTATCACCAACTACAGAAGGCTTATGGACTGAAGTCAAGAATTCTTTTACTAGCGCCGAGAAATATATAAAAGACACCAATAACAAAAGAAAATCTAAACCTGGATGACACAAAAATTCTGGGAATGATAGATACTCGAAGAGCCTACAAAAATAAAATTATAAAAAATATAGGGAGATACATCGTCAAATCAAGAAAGAATAGCTACCGCAAAAGAAAATTGGATGATAGAAAACTGCCAAGAGATCGAAGAATTAATAAAGAAACACGACAGTCAAACGCTTCACAAAAAAATACAAAGATCTAGCTGGAATGACAAAACAAAGACTCCCTTGTAGATTAACAAACGACGAGAATGAAACGATATGGGAATTAAGCGATCTAAACAACGTATGGGGACATTACATAGAAGAACTATTCTTCGGACACACCACTAAACAACATAATATATAAAAACCATGAAACCAGTCCTCCTATATTAAAACAGAAAGTAGAGAGAGCAATCAAAAAACGCAAAAAATGGGAAAGCCCCTGGCCCCGATGACATACATACGGAAGTCATAAAGCTACTGGAAGAGAAACACTTAAATATAATCGTCAAATTATTTAATCAAATATATACAAGCGGTGAAATTCCACAAGACTGGTTAAAATCAGTCTTTATTCCCCTTCCAAAAACTAAGGGAGCAAAGAAAAGTGTGGTGATTTCAGATTTATTAGTTTAATCTCGCATATGTTAAAGTTATTCTTGAAGTTATTCACCAACGTATTTATAAGAAATGTGAACAGGATATCAGTGATGAACAA